GACCCCCCCCCTCCCCCGCCCCCCGAGTGCACAAATTTTTGTGCACCGGGCCTCTAGTAATATATAAATGTAAATTGTATTCTATAAATAAATTTAATGATTTGTAACATAGTCCTTATAAATATCAAAAATTTGCTCTATAGACTATTTGTTAGCACTGTTAGTGGTTTTAAAGGATTTTTTCACCTGGCTGGAGTGGCACAGTGGTTGAGTGTTGATCTATGAACCAGGAGGTCACAGTTTGATTCCCAGTTTGGGCACAAGCCCAGATTGTGGGCTCGATCCCCAGTAGGGGACATGCAGGAGGCAGCCAATCAATGATGTTGCTCTCTCTCATCAATGTTTCTATCTCTATCTCTCTTTCTTCCTCTCCCTGAAAAATCAATAAAAACATATTTAAAAGATTTTTTCAAAATAATTTCTAGCCTGGCCAGCGTGACTCAGTGGTTAAGCATCGACCTTTGAACCAGGAGATCACGATTTGATTCCTGGTTAGGGTACATGCCCGGGTTGTGGGCAAGATCCTCAGTGGGGGATGTGCAGGATGCAGGCGATCAATGATTCTCTCTCATCATTGATGTTTCTATCTCTTTCTCCCTCTTCCTTCCTCTCTGAAATCAATAAAAATATATTTAAAAAATAATGAGACTTTCTAAAAAGTGGTCCCTGGCCTGAAGCTTACCATTTGATTCTCTTGTCATTGTGAGTAACCTGACTTAATGGATGGCTACTGAGCAACAGCAGTTAAAGAAGATTTACAGACCGTCCAACGGCCACCTCCAGGAGCCTCAGACACATTCTCACTGATCTCGGAATGTCCTTTTCTTCTTTCAGCTGTGCCTCCAACAAGGCAAGCAAAGCCGCTTCTGTTCTCTTATATGCCCTGTGGACACACACGGAGCTCCACAATGCCTACAAGAAGGTAAGAGCGCTCAAAAGGCATGTGTCCTAGTTAGCAGAGCCAGATCCTAATGGCCCACTTGTCTGACCCTGGTGGGAAATCACTAAGAACTGCAGTTTTGTGTGTGCAAATGTTGTTGTTGATCATATTTTTTGTTTGCTTATTCCAAAGGCTCAGTTTAAGAAGACAGATTTTGTCAACAGCCGGACTACCAAAGCCTACCACTCCCTTAAAGACTAAGGAAAGTGAAAAAGTGCTCTCAGAAATACCAACCTCACCATTCTCGGCCACAAAAAAAACCCCAAAGGAAAACACCTATTTTTCTACTTCCCAGTCCAAGAAACCTCAGAAATAAAGCATGCCTTGTTTTTATCCTTTTCTATTTCCATGGTCCCCCGAATCCAGAAGACAAATAATCAGAATATGATTTTATTAGTCTTCCAGAAGATTTTCACAAGTTTGCCACCAGAAGATACTGGCAGCAGGCTCTATTTACCCTCCACAGATAGTGGTCTTTGGGATTAGGGCTTATGGCTCATGCCCTCCTGGAACCGAAATGTGAATTCATGTGGAATGGACGTTGACAGAATAAATAAGGAAAGAAGCTGTTGTAGTATTACTAGGATTTTAAAAGTTTTATCTACATTTCCATGTTTTGTCACTTATATGCACATTGCTTCACCAGAGAGCCATGCATATATTGTCTGCAGTGTTGAAACAGAATGGAAAAAACAAATATTTGCTAAGTTATCCAGGAGAAAATTTAATGGCAAAACTGTTTTTTGTTTGTTTTTTTATGACTTTGTGCTTGTTCTTATCCTCTTGAATTTTTTCTCTGACTTTAAATGAACTTAAGAAGTTTAAATCATGGAGCATGCATGTCTATAAGAAAAAAGAATTGAAAGGTAGTGATCAAGCAGATTTAAAATCTTTTCTACAGAAAAAGGAACTTTGGCTATGAAATTCAGTGTTTCCTCTAACCACTGAGTAAATGAGATTTTTGCTTAAGGAAATACTTTACCTATAACAACAGCATTAAATGCAAATCTCTTCTGAACAGTAGCACTCAATGTAATCTATTTCCTGGACTTTCTCAGCCTCTGCAGTGGGCTGGTGGAAGAATGGACTCTATATTTAGCTACAAAAGGAACCAAGGTCTCTCAAACTGCAGGGCCAGCCCAGGGCTCTGAAAACACAGTTCATTTAAATGAGTTAGTTGTTATCAACCAGCCCAAGTTTGCCCAACATTTAAAAAAGAGCACAGAGCCACTAAGTCTCATAATCTTCCTCAAGCCATTATTTTAAGTAAAGGAAACTCTAGAGAAGAAAAATAAAGACGTTATATTGAGGATAAAGGGGTCTAGGCCACCCAGAAGTGATATGAGAAGTACTCATATGTAAAAGTTGACAACATCGTCTATTAGGGCGAATCTGTATTAAGTGTTATTTTAACTGGACTCTGGTTTATGCCATTCATAAAGAAGTAATCTTCTCAACTACAATTCTGTTTTGTTATGTTTTTTTAAAAGAAATCTGACAATGTTTGTTATAAGAAATAAGAAGTAAAAAATTCATCTCCTTTTGTCCAGAAAAGTGTAATAGAAAATAAATCCCCATTTTCTATTTGAATGTGTACGTAAGTCTTTATTATATTTAGAACTTAAAATTTTTTCCATTTTAACAGCTCAATGGAGAAGATTGAAGTTACTAACCTAGTTTAACCTGAAATTATTTAGATACCCATTTTTAAAATACTGAAGATAGAAATTCTCTTTTTCCAGAGTTTTGACGATAGGCATTTGGAGTATCTTTATTTCTCCAGGTAACTGATTTCTGTTCAAGAAGTTTCTGTATTTTTTAAGGCACTAATGGAGCCTTTAGTAAAGTTCACCACAAAGTTAGGCAAAAATAATGTTGCCTGCATTAGCATCTGGGCATCTAATTTATGTATCTTAGTATATGTGATATGATTGATGTGACATTTGAGGATTTGACCTGATAAACTTTAATCTAATGACTAAGAGTTTAATACCTCGTAATTGCTTTGTAATTCTTCCCTAACTAAAGTCCTTAATCCTTTAACAAGTAACTCTTCCTATAAGAAAGATAAGACTAGCTAGTGACTAAAACATGTTAAAACGGAGAGACATACAAGTGCGTTAGCTATTGTTAAATTTTAGTTAATGGAGTGAGTCTGTGACCACGAAAGAGACTATGTTTGATCCCTGTGTTTTGCTTTGTCACTCTGTTTACAAAAACTTCATGCTTTGTATCTGTGAACATTTCTGAGGGAAGTCATTATTTGATTGATTATCAGTTTTGATCACTGGTTCACACACAAAGCTCTTTTATTTCCCACGTACCCAGACTGTGCCTATGTCATCAAAGGAACTGACCAGCTGAGCGGGGCCTTTGCATTTATTCATGGTAAGAGTTCCAAAGGGCTGTGCCTTGTCAGGAATTCTGTGTGGTCTTCAGGAATATGGGATATTCCTGCCATTTCTATAACTGGAAACATTTGTTTATACCCATGGGAATAACTAAAGGATTATCTGACAAAATAGAGAGGAGATTAACATGTCAAGTGGGAAAATAAACAGCATGAGTAGATAAACCACTTTAAAACCAATATAATCACCCTCTGAAGAAGCAATTTCCTATAAGAAAAGGGAAATGGGAAATATTTGTATTTATATATATTATAGTTATAAATGAAATTTCCTTTAAATAACATGTGTGATGAACTTACTGAATTGGAATGATGATGACTTCAGTATATGTGTACTTTAAGCAAAACTGAAGAAGCCTCAGTCACAGAATCTGAGGATTAAGAGGGAATTTAGAGGGCATCTGGTCATGTCCTCCTTAAAGTATCTTCTTGCATCAGAAAAGACTCAGTTCTTATTGAAGTGACAGAGAAGAAAAATATGCCAGCGCTCATTCAACTAATGCCCAACATGATCCTGTAACGAGCCCAACTTAAGACTCACTAGCTGTTGCATTAAAGTGTTTGTTGTGTGTCTCAGTGGAAGAGGGAATTTAGAGGGCATCTGGTCATGTCCTCCTTAAAGTATCTTCTTGCATCAGAAAAGACTCAGTTCTTATTGAAGTGACAGAGAAGAAAAATATGCCAGCGCTCATTCAACTAATGCCCAACATGATCCTGTAACTAGCCCAACTTAAGACTCACTAGCTGTTGCATTAAAGTGTTTGTTGTGTGGCTCGGTGGATGAGCATCGACCCATGAACCAGGAGGTCGTGGTTTGATTCCCAGTCATGGCACAAGCTCAGGTTGCAGGCTTGATCCCCAGTAGAAGGCATGCAGGAGGCAGCTGATCGATGATTCTCTCTCATCATTGATGTTCCTCTCTCTCTCCCTTCCTCTCTGAAATCAATAAAAATATATTTTAAAAAGTTTGTTTCCTTTTTTAATCTATACTTACTAGAGGCCCAGTGCATGAAAATTTGTGCACTTAAAGGGGGGGGTTCCCTTAGCCCGGCCTGAGCCCTCTCACAGATCAGGAGCCCTCTGGGGTTGTCAGACTGATGACTCCCCTTCAGGGAGCGGGCCTAAGCCACAGTCTGGCCTCCCTCTGCAGGAGGCGACCCACGGGCTGATCGGGGGATAGCACTAGCCAGCG